TTGTCATAAGGATAAGCTGATAGATATTGTGAGACATTCTCTGCCTTAATAGTTCCTGGATCAGAAAAGCTAGTCAATAGAAAGAGCAGAATGCCGATACCAACTGCCAACAAGCTTGTATACCTGCAAAAACATATAAAATCAGAGGAAAAAAAAAGAAGACAATCATTTTGAAGGAATCAGGTTACAGAAGAAAATTCACTTCTTAGAACATACCTATGAACTCCACTAAGATAATAGCCAGGGATATATCTAAAGGACGTCTTTGCAATAATGTAATAAGTTCCTCCAATTATTGCCAAGTATATAATCTGTAACAAAGAGAAAATCAGAGTAAAGGTTGACCCCTCTGCTATAATGGACAGAGAACACCCCCCCCCCCCCCCCCCCCACCTGTCCTCTTTACTCTTTTTAATAGTAAGATAATCTTTCTCAACAGTTGATATGTAAAAGAAAATGCATCATACTTTTATAAGGTAGAATATTTGAACATCAAAATCATTTGTTTCTAAAAAATTGCGAAAGGTTTTTATTATTTTTGACGTATGTGTGTTTGGGTTGAGTTTCGCCATTTAAATGGAGTTCACTAGGGCTTTGACAGAACATAACCTCTATCTTAGTTTATCCTCATTCATCAAATTAATGCACACGGTTTCCAATCAACTGAATTCAAGAATCAAATATATCAAAGAGAAAACATAACTCTGTCAATCATCTTGTAATTCAATGTACCAACACTAGCAATCGTTACTCTTCCATATGTGGTTTAACATCCAAGTTTCGGATTCTCCCTCCCCACTAGAACTTCCTCATATGTACCAAAAGAACTTTATAATTCAATGTTTTAGCATCAAATTAAGTGAAACTAAACTAAACATCATTACTTAGAGTATATTTGCTTCCTATTGTTTCCAAAGACCATAACATTCGTGTACTGCAATTCTGCTTCTACCATTAAATTCCAAACGCAACACACTGCACAGCCAAAATTCATTAACACTTATTCATTAACATGCTATGAAACAAAAACCAAACTCATTTAGAAAAGGAAATCAACTTCATTTTCCAGGGGCTTCAGTCTAATAATTTCAATTGGTTACCTGCAAAATGGGATTAGGCCTATCACAACAATAGTACTCAACAGAAAGGATCAAATTTGTTCCCTTATCTCCAAACACAGCCCCCATAAACTTCCTGAAAACAAATCAAAACAACCAAAAATCAGTCACCCAAAACAAAAAGAACCCATCAAAGAAAACCGCAAAAAGAGAAATACAGGAAGTATTGATAGGCTCCAAAAGTGATGAAATGGTGGATGGAGCTGATGGGTGTTCCTTGGAAGATAGGCCACTGCCCACAAAGAAAAGAAACAACAACTGTAAGGGTCAGCAGGCCATGGCATACCAGTGCCCAATGTACAGCCATCTTTGTTAAAAAAAAAAAATTTCTTTTTCGGGACTTCGAAGAGGTGAAAAACAGGGGATTTGGGGAGAGACAATTTGAAATCTTTGTTAGATTTTCAAAGGCTGCTTGGTTGACTTTAGGGTTTGTGTTCTGTTGATTTGTTTTGTCGCTGTGACAGGTTTTAGTCCGGGCTTCGGTTTCTCAGATGTTGTTCTGACTTTCATGGTACAACTGTATATAAGTACACAAACTGAACTTGGGTGTCAATTGTCCACAAACTGTGTTTTGTTTTTTCTTTTCTTTTTTTTTTTCACTTTTTCATTTTTGAATATTCATTGTATCATTGGGGATTCTAAGACTTTGGTATGTTTTCTGATAAGATTCCAATTTTTTTTGTAGATTGTCAATTACAATACAAATTTTTATGTTAATTATTTATAAAAAATTATAATTTAAAGTTACACTTATTTATGGACATGATTTTTCTTTTAATTCTAATCAAATCATTTAATTTTAAAGAATCAAATTAAAGATTAAATTTAATTATTGTTCATGATTTTTTTATCTATTTTTTTATCATCAATGTTTGACACCAATTTGCTAGCCCGTAACTCCTTTTATATAGTTATCAAATCTTAATTTAAATTAATTTTGATTTTGATTCGAATTGGTTCTTTAATTAGATCATATGTGCAATTTATTTTAAAAAATCACATTAACCGATTAGGTTTAAAAAAAGAAAATGAACCCATTGAATTTTTTTATTAACACAGATAAATTAAATATGAGTTTTTTAAAATGATTTTAAAGTAATGCATAACTTAATTCTTGCGAATTAATTATTGATTTTTTCATTATTTTCATTAAAAAAATTAATTTTATAATATTTTTATGGACCCGACATTGACCCGAGGCTGTAATTGAACAATTAGCCCAAGACCCAAAGCCTAAAACAGACCATTATCCGGTTCGGTTCAAATGAGAATAGAGGAAACATTTGAACTTTGAAGTTTCAACAATGTAATAGGCTTATGGTTTATTTGCATCTTAGAGAAATTCAGTATTTGATCTATATATCCTCTTATTTTATCATAATAAGGGTATTACTAATACAAATAATCAATCACATTATGGCAAAGCTTAATTCCATGGGAAAATTGCACAACTGAATTTACTTCCTTTCAGCTACTTCACAAATATTTTCATTAGACAGCAGATACAGATATACCATATTGACAGGAATCTGCTTTGTGTATGAAGCCCAATCTCATCTAACTCACAAGTCAAGAGGAAAAATGACGAAGGGAGTTAGCCAGTAAAGCCAGTTGCAACTAGATGTCATCATCATTGATGTTATCCTCTATAATGTCAATGCAGGATCCTACAGATTTTCCCATGGACATTGCCTCTGCAAGTTTACCTCGGGCTGCCTCATGGCGACGCAGTAGTAGGATTGTGTTCAGCACAGACCATCTGACTTGGGAATCTGCTTTCTTTTGTGTAAATCCCAAGCCTTTGAGCAATACATCCAACTGCTTCATGTAACCAGAAAGTTCAATCAGTGGTGAAACTCTTGCAGCTTTGATTTTCAGTGTATGATAGAAGTTGAGCAGAGGGGATTGTGTACCTTGTTTATATCAGCAAGGCCTCCCTCAGCATATCCGTATAACAGATATTCAGTTGCCACACCTGCTAGTGCTATGCATGAGAACCTGTTGAGCGTCTGGTTCAGAAACATTCTCGCCATAAGAACACTTGCCACTTTGAATGAGGATGTATGAAATCTAATATGCTTAAGAGCAGGAAAATGAAAATGTGAGAAGTAGACTACATACTGTCGCTGATACTTTCCCTGCATTAGCCTGCATGAAACGAAAATTTGGAAAAGAAAGTGATAGCAGTTAGGGATTATAAAAGAACTACATTATTCATAAAACTAAAAGGATTAACACAGAAATCAATCAATGGCTAGCTTGTTATAATTTCTTTCATCATCTGCCTTTCCCTTTTCGCTTCCATGGTTAAGTTAAAGCCTTTACCTAGCTTGACTAAGTCTGAGTCTCAAGCAAGTGTTATGCCTTGGAGAATTGTAGATGATGCAATTAGTATTCGTCCTTATGCTACCTCAAGATTGCCTTACATACTCATATAGTCATCTATGATATTTTCCCTTCTTCTTGCTAGTATATGCAAAACCAACCAGACATGAAATCTATCAAACAAAGTGGTCAGTTGTAGATCTCTGAGTTGGTTATGGCCATGGAACAATTAACTGAAGTACGGCAGAGGCTTCCGCTCTGCTGGAATATCATTCCAAATTCTTCGATGCAGGATTACGGGTTTTGTTTTAGGACCCAAACTGAAGACAGGATGGGGAGGCAGCAGCAGCTGAATGGAATATAGCAGAGAGAAAGCTACATAAATGAACAACAATTTGAAGAAATCAACTTACTTCTTCAAGAAACTCAAAATCAACAAAAGCTGTCCCTGCTTGAATATTGAGTGATCCTTCTTTCTTTAAAGCTTCCAAACTAGTTAATGTGTATCCTCTTGGAAGTATACCCACCAGGTAAGCAATCAAGAAATGACCAGCTTCATGCTGCACAGAAATCTTATATAAGTATTTGGTTTCAATGTAAATCAGTTTCTTTCAGCAATATGAAAAGACTAACCAGCTGATAGGTGGTGAAGACAGAGAGCAGCATTAACACATTATACAGAGAGCAGCATTAACACATTATATATGAAGTGATTTAAATGAAAATAGAAAATGAAATTGAGAGGCCTTACTTGAATAACCCTCTTGTGATACTTCTGACTAAAAGCGTGACCAATTGTGTCAAGGACCAAGCTACCAACTCCTCCATTGAATGAAACCTATACAAAAAACTAGCATGTTGTAGAAAACAGTGTGGCTTTTGCCCCATTACTATTTGTTCGTCAAACTATTCATCCATGTTAAAGCAATGAATTCTAAACTAGAAATCTCTTGTCAGCCAAAGAAACACATTCATAAGAATAAACTTGTAAAGTCAGATATCAAAGAAGGGGACAGTTCCTGAACGAAATGAGTTAGATCAGCATGAGGAAATTACCGAGTCCAGTGTCCACAGAAACAAGAATCCCAAAGAAATAAACAGGATTTGCTGCGGGCTAAACCCAAAAGCATTCCATGCTGCAACCCCTCATAAGATAGCAGCAAGCTGCAGGTTTCTTTCTATTGAACCCAGAGTTGCATCCACTGGTGATAGAAGAGATGTAGTTTCTATTCCATTCAGTCTCAATTCATCCAAGGTGTACACTCTTCGGGGAACCTGCACAGCGAAATCACTCTTCAAATGAAACCAAACGGCACACCTTAGACAATGAAAATCACCACATCCATTCCAAAACAGTGGTGAACAAATTCTAGAGAACGAGAGCTCCTATTTTTGCTGCAATGCAACAAATTGCAGCACACAAATTATGAAGGTAACAATTTTTCCAACTCAACTGATCAGGAAGCAGAGACATACATTCAACTGAATTTCTCAGCCAAAGCTATAAGTGAACACAAATTCTATCAATTCAAAAACCATTTATAAGTCTGCAAACCTGCCGGGCAGCACCAAAACATCGAAGCCCACCAGGCTTTCCTTGCAAGTCCCTGACAAGAGTGAGTGCAGCCCTCTCATCCCCTTTGTTGAGCTCCTTATCCACTTGTTCCAATACTTGTCTTCTGGACACCCCAATTTCTGATGAACCCACAATCCTAAAAGTGGATAATCTCAGCCTCGGGCATGAACTTAAGTTACAGTAATAAACCAAAGTGCCCATAACTCTAAAAGGAGAAGGAATTGCATCCCAAATACAATCCTTTTTCTAACATAACACACCATGTCACTTTCCATTCAAATTGCACATTTTCTCAGCCACAGAATTATGATAAGTCTAGTACAACTATATATAATGATTTTCTGACATAGGAAGAGAAAAACTCTAAAGCAATCAAAGGAAAAAAAACATAATTTTATTCTAAAATTCACTTGTTATTGCAAGGAAAAAAACAAAGCCTTTTTTTTTGTTAAATTTTTGAAAAAAAATTAATAAAGTAAGATAATTTCTTAAAAAGCTCAAAACATGTAATTGAAACACAACAAAATTTAAAAAAAAAAAGATAAAAAATGTGAGAAATTGAATCATTTTATTATCATATATGAAGTTAATATTACTAAAAGCCAACATATATTTTTTTTATTCACTATCATTATCGGGGTTTTCTAACTTCACTAAAAATAATATTTCCTCCTTTCTTAATGAACCTCAACAATGGCAGTGAGAACAACCTATACGGTTTAAATTTAATTAATAACTTAATTAATTGGTCGAATTTTTTTTGCTAATATTATCATTCAGACATTTTTTATATATATGAAAACAATGAATTTCCAAAGAAAAAAAAATTCAAAATAAACAGTTGCTAATATAAAAGACATATTATTATATTGTCATTTAAGTAAATTTACATTATAAATTAAATCTCTGTATTCACCATCATCATTAACATTATAACATGCCCTTTGTTACATTGCATGTAAAAATATTGTAACAACATATTTCTTTTGTTCTGCTCTTTGCTCTCCTCTTTGGAAGAAGTTCATTGAAAACAATGTACGTATTATGATAGCAGGCAGCTTTGAAACCTCAAAAAGAGAAAACAACAAAAAAGAAACCAAATTCACCAAAAAAAAAAAGGGAAAAGCCAGCCTTGAAAAGGGGGTCCTTGGTTTTGGTTGGAAGAAGGAGGGGTAGTTTGTTTTTGTTGGGGGTCACGTCAAGGAGAGGAAAACGGGAGAAGAAGGAAGCAGGAAAAGAACGGAGAAGAGGAAGGAAGACAAAAGAGAGAAATACGAAGGAGAAGGAAGACAGAGAAGAGGAAAAAGGAGGAAGTGAAGGAGAAGAAAAGAGACAAAAAAGAGCCCAAAATGATAGTGAATAGAAAGCCCAAGTGGAGAAGCTCAAAGAAAAAGGAAGAGAGCATAGAAAGCCCATTGAAGGTTCTTGGACCCCATCTTATATTTATTTTAAGTCCATTATATTTTATCATGTTTTTATTAATAAACTTTGTATGAAAATTAATGAATTAAATAGGCTTAATCTGAATTAATTTAATGATGGAACATCACTTGGAATGTGGAGAGTCACATTTGCAAGTTGATTTTTTAAGTGACGAGTTTAATTAAGATTTCATCATATCATTAAGATAGTCTTAATTTTATATTTCAATATTTTATTAGTTCAAATAATTATTTTAAAATATTAATATATATAATAATTAGAAATTAAATAAAACATGTATTATTTTGAATTAATTCGATGATGGAATTTGGATTGCAAAGAGTCACATTTTGGAGTCGACTTTTTTAGGTGAAGAATTTAATTAGGATTTCATCCAAGCATTGCGATAGTAGTAATTAGAAACAAAAAATAACTTAATGAATTAATTAAAACTAAAAAACTTTTATTAAAGCATATATACTTATTGTTTTATATTAAATAGTTTTAACATGATATATCATAATAGATAATGATATGGTATACTAGTTTGGTATGATGATATAAACACATGATATTTTTTATTTTTTCACATCAATGTCACATCAACACCACTTAACATAAAAATGACAAGTAAAATTTTGACTAACAATAGTGAGTAAAAGGAGTTTATTTGATACAAAATAAAAATATAGAAATATGATAGAAGGTAATAAAAAATAAAACTTTATTTATATTTTCTTGAATAATTTAGGAGTTTGACTTTTTTTTTTTTTTTGTCTTTTAACTAAACCAATTGCTTAAGTTAATAAGTTATAATTTTTTTCCTTATCAATAGCTGAAACAAAACTATCAAAATGTTTGTTTTTGATTTGAAGCGTATGAGTAATGAAGATTTAATCGTTAAAGTGTACTTGCATTGCATCACATGGGAAATTATGTGCTTAGAAATGATAAGTCTTTCTTTATAATTGAACAAGCAGAGCTCACACGTCCAAAGAAAAGGTCTAAGAAATTTGTTTCACCTATGGCTGCAAAAAGCAAGGATTGGTTGGATTTGAATGGCCAATCAAAGCCACAGGGTTTCACCATAATTTCATTATGTATTAATAAGTTCAACTCTTGTTGGTGTTGGCATGATAATGTTTAAAATAAAAAATAATAATTTACAAAACCTAATCAATTAACTAAGGTTGGATTCCATGGGGCAACAACCTAATCAATTCTTGTCTGTCTTCGAGTTTTCTTTCGTTCGAGTATTAATTTATCATTTGTGAAATTGTTATGGCAGCTACAAAAACATAAATAATAGAAACCTGATGGAATGATATTCTTATTAGTTTATATATAATAATAGTTGTTTTCTGGCAAACCTTTCACTATGTAATTTTGTTTAATTGTTAATGTTGGAATTAAACGAGGAGGATGTTTTGAAAGATTGGCCTGTTGCAGAGACAATGAAAAAGTTCAACATGATGCGTTTGCAATATCCTAGTATTGGAGAACTTCCTGACGAGTTAAATTGTCCACAACTTGTTCTTTTCCTTATGTTTAACAAGGATACTTCCTTAAAAATACCACCTAACTTCTTTAGGAAAACAACATATCTTAAAGTCTTAGATTTCACTAACATGCATTTTTCTTCTTTACCTTCATCAATTCGACTCCTAACAAGTCTTCATACATTATGCCTTGACCAATGTGAATTGGGTGATATAGCCATTATTGGAGAGCTCAAGAATTTAGAAATTCTCAGTCTTTTGAAATCTGATATCAAAATTCTGCCCAAGGAAATTGGACTACTAGTTAAGTTGAAGTTATTAGATTTAAGTCATTGTACTCAACTCAAAATAATTCCACCAAGCGTCTTATCAAATTTGTCCAAATTGGAAGGATTATATGTGGGTGGCACTTTTATTCAATGGGAAGTAGGGGGACATGCCAACCAACGAAGCAATGCTAGTCTTGCTGAATTGAAGGCTTTGTCTTCTTTGACCACTTTAGAAGTCCATATTCCTGATGCAGAGGCCATGTCAGGGGGCTTGCTCTTTAAAGATTCGCAGAAGTTGGAAAGATACAAGATTTTCATTGGAAAGGAATGGGAATGGTTGGGTAAGTATGAATATTCAAGGACTTTGAAACTCAAGTTAAGTACAAGCATTGATTAGTTGGATCATGGAATTAAGTTGTTGTTGAGGAAAACTGAAGCTCTGTATTTAGATGAACTTAAAAGGTGTCAAGATTGCAATGCAAGAGTTCAAAGATGAAGAAAGCCTACCGCATTTGAAGAATCTCCGTATCCAAAATAGTTCGGGGATCGAATATATCATTAATGATAATGGTGCACTTACTAAAAATGAATTTTTTCAATTAAGATCTTTGACATTTCGAAATCTATCACAGCTCATTAGCTTTTGCTCTAAAGACACAAGCAACTCTGCCTCTTTTCAGTGAAAAGGTATTTTCTTAATTTCCATCATTTACTCATTCAAAGTCATATTTTGATCTCATTTCCAATTTCTTTAAGATTTTTTTCTTATGATCAACCAATGTTCTCAAATGTTAAATTTATATTATTTTAGAATCTCCCTCCTTCGCTTTTTAACTAAGTGCCACTGAAAATCTAATTTGAGTAAACACATCCATTGAATATCCATTATAAATTTGGCACTCTCTATTCTGCTTATAAAAATTATATAATCCTATACTTATCCTTTGTTAAACTTATATATGAGAGCCTAGCATAATTGTAGGAGATGAGAGGGTTTAGTTAGAGATCATAGGTTCATAGGTTCGAGATTGTGTTCATTTAGATAAATAAATTTCAACATCTATGTTCTAAAATTAGGCATAAACTACTCTATTTTCATTTTTGTTTTAGAATTTTGATCTTCCCTAGCTAAATGCCAGGGAATGTGCCACGTACTACTAAATTTTACAATTTAGTGATTGTTCACTTTTCTTTAAAATATAAGTAAGTATTTCTCCTGAACTAAGCTGCTATTGCATTGCCAAACCCATTACTTCTTTTTAATCATAGAATATTATTTAATTACGCTAAAAGAGATAGTCTTTCTTCCGTTGTCTTTTTTTCTTGTTTTCTACTCCTTTTAATATAGATTAATTACTTGTCTGCAGATGTTGTTCCCTTGTTTGGAGAATTTACTGTTGTCCTCAATTAATGTTGAAAGGATATGGCATAATCAGCTTCCAAATACTTCTTTCTACAATCATGAGAACCTGATTGTAAAAGCTTTCGTAAATCTTAAATATTTGGAAGATTATGACCGCAATAACTTGAAGTACATATCCACTGTTTCCATGGCTTTGGACCTTCTGCAATTGAAAGAGATAAAAGTTAAAAATTGCCCTATGATGGAGCGAATAATCACAACTGAAGAAGCAGAGGAAGCAGCAGTGAATTCAATGGTGTTACCCAGGCTTCAGCGCATAACTCTTGAGTCATGTTCTAACCTGACGAGCTTTTGTTTGGGAAGCATTACAATGTAGTTGATTGCCCAAAGTCAATTGTTAAAAAGATTTAATTAAGTAATAAACTCTGAATGTAGCATGGTCTGGGTAGTTGCTATACTTTGCTCAAGTATGTATTAACAGGCTAGTAACCGGAATCTCGATAACTTTAATTCCTTCTCAAAAGTAATTCATCAATTCAATGCGGGTTTGACAACTAATGTTGCAGAATTTCCTTCAAACATGCATCCATGCATTTCATCTAGAAACAAAAACTACCTAGGATGAAGTAGACACAAGATTCCATTACATGTTCAGAAACTAAAACCTTAACCTCTATATCCTTTCTCTGGAAATTAAATTTATGATTATAAATGTAGTTAATTTGATACCTAATCATAAGACTACACAATAACACAAACCAAAGTAACAATACTATAGTTGGTGCTGCTGTCACTTCTTTGTTTCAAAATGAATGGCCTAGCCCTGAAGTATAAGCAGCATTCCTCTGCTTTAGCCCAATTCCACTTGCTGCCAATGTTGTCTTTGAATTCTTGCTATTTTTATGACATGAATTTTCTGTATTGAATTCCAGAATGAACTTGATTTTTGTTAACTTTTGTTACTCCCTCACTTTGCTTTTTCTTTTTTTTTTTTTGGCTCACAATTATACAAACTTTAACCTTTTTTTATATTGTGAAATTAAAATTTCAAAAACTAAGATTTTGAAAATTTTGAGTTTAAGAATTTTCAGAAGTAAATTTTTTAAATTGTAATTACTCATAATATTATAGTAATAAATAATGACCAAAATTGGTTTGGTTTGACCAGAAAAAAAATAAAATTATTTATTCAGAAAATTGTCCATAGAAAGTGGTTTGGTACACTATTTTGCAAAAAAAATTTCTTGTTTTCAATGCTGAGGAGAAACAATTGCTTAGGTCTTTCTAAAGATGTTTTTTTTTTGGGATAAATTAAGAAAGGAAAAAAAAAGTAGAGGAATGGAACAAATAATATGGAAAAAATAGAATGAAATATAGGAAAGAAAAGAATTTATAATATAATTCTAATTAGGTAATTTGTATAATTAACTTAACAAAGATATAAACCATTTAAATTTAAGAATTTAAATCCAAAATACAAGTTTAATTAATTGTAAACATATTTTTGCTACTTGTTCCTATATAGTTATTAGCTACAATATAAAACATATTAATTTGCAGGCCTAATTTAATCCCAATAAAAACTTTTGAAAATGTGAATGTAGACTTTTCCAAATTAATAAAAACATGTTGGTAAAAAATTAAATAACCCATTCTATATAATTGCCTTGCTTAAATTCTAGTTTTATTAATTTTCTATATTTTGGTTTTATCTAAATTATAAATATTCTG